GCTTGGCTGGCCTTTAGCTCTGATGTATTCCTTGAACTGCACTTAAAATGTCCAACTAGGTGTCAACATTTAGCCAGAATAGGAGATGAATCAGCTGCTTTCAAACCTGCTAGTATGCTCAGTTGAAGACAGTGTGCAATACACAGTATATGGCTGTAATCCATCCTGATTGTTCATGTGTATTATCGAGCTTACCCACGCCTTTTTTAAACACAACACAATAAAAAAGCTATTTTTTCAAAAGAAAAATTCCCTTGAATTTTTCTACTAATAATTTTTAGTTATTATCTTGCATCTTGTTTTTGTTAATTTTTATTTTATCTTGAGTTTATTCTAATTGAAGAATATTAAAGTTAACTTAAACATTTGAGTAGTTTTAATACAACTAGTTGTACTTAATGTATAATATATTACCTATATTGAACATAATATATATTATACTTGTAAGGGCTTTGTGATAAGATCAGTACGATCTTCTTGAAGTCCTGTCTGTACTATTTTAATTATAATTATAATCTCGTTTATATATTTTGACTAAAGAAACTTGTAAATATTACTATTAAAAATTACGAAACTTGTTAATATATATATATGTACGACAAAAAAAACGGAAAACCGGCAAAAATTAATCGAAATATTACTGAATAAAGAAATTTTAATCGAATAAATAAATTAGCGATTAATCGATTAATTAATCGTTAATTTCTGCAGCCCTAATATATATATATATTAGGGTGTGTCAAAAAAAAGTCATGTCTGAAAAAAAAAAAGAGCCCTAGCTTATCATCTGCCTAGACCATGATTTAGTACTAAGGATTTTTTTTTTTTTTTCCTGAAAATCCTAAGGGTCCCTCCAAGGGGTAAAAGGGGCAAGTTTTATAGCACTTTGTACCATTTTTAAAACAGTTTGGAGGAAGTGTTAAAATTTAAATTTTTAATTTTTTTTTTAACATTTCTGTTTCTAAAGATCTATTTAATCTAAATAAAACGGGCTCTATTCTTTAAAAAAAAAAAAATTAAAAATTGTTTTGAAAAAACTCAAAATCAATAAATATTTTATAAAAACAAATACTTTTACGCTGCACTTATTTAGGGTTTTGTTTTATTGAAATGTATTTTATATAAAATTTTGTTTTTTAGATTAAATAGTAAAATATTAACTAATAAAATGCCACCGAAAAAAAAAATTTAGAAGTAATAAATTGGATGAAATATTTTTAGTTAAAAATTTAATCTTCAAACTTCCAGCAAAGAAATTTGCCACTGCTAAAGAGGTAATTCAATATTATCTCTTTATACGAAAATCAAAAAGTGAAGCAAAAGTAAAGTGCTAAGTAGGTTGTCCTAACAAAAGTTCTTCTTTTATACCTAACTGCCCAGTTAATCAGTCTGACTGCTGCATACTATCTAAACTGATGGATCCTTGGATACTTGGTGGATTTAAAGTGCTTACAACACAAAAGATAAGGTAACTTTTATTATTGCATTCTAAATCAGTTTAATCTATAAATCTTTATACAAGTAAATATTGTTTTTAAAGAATTAAAGTTGAGAAGTTGTTAAAAGAGTGGGTGAAATTAAAAGATAAAAGAAACAGAACAAATCTTGCTGAAGTAAAAAAGGGACACTTATTTAAAGAACAAATGAATAAAGTATTTTGGATTGGAGAACATCCTCATGTAATGTTTGGAGAAATACTAAAAGATAAAATAAGAAGAGTGAAAGACAAGGAAGAAGATATTGCTTTTTTAAAAGACCAACTTGGGGAAAAGAAAGGATGTCTTGGAGGTAGAGATAAAAGATACAAGTATTCTATTGAAAGAAATAAAAGAAGCAAATCAAATTTAGAAAAAAGCTATTAGCAGAGTTAGATACAAATGATTTAGAGTATCTAAGCTCTTCTAGTTACACAAGCAAAAATTTAGGCCAAGAAACAGATATCGACTTTGATATTAATGAGATTCCTAATATTCAAAATTCTGTTCTTCCTAAAAATATACTTGAGTCTACCGCTCACACAGCAGTTGGGGAGGGTATAACACCGCACCAACATACAGCTTTGATTAGTAGTGTTATTGTCATGGCTGGTGGTTCTGTAGCAAACTTTAGATGTTCTAAATCCACATCTTATAGGGCTGCAGAGAACATAATATCTGCCGGAGCAAAAGAAATAAGAGAATATATAAAAAACACTGTAGTATCATCGGACTCACTAAAGACCATTTGATGGAAAAATAGTAAATGAGTTAACGGCCGGAAAGCAATTAAGAAAAGATAGAATTGCAGTTTTGGTGAGGATTGATGGGAAAACAGAACTACTTGGCATTCCTCCAATAGAGTCTAATTCAGGGGATAATCAAAAGCAAGCAATTTTTGAATTAATGGAGTCCCATTTTGGTAGTTTTTGCCCTAGCTGATGAAAAATGTATGGAACGCAGTGATATGGCCAAGAAACTGTATAGTTTACCAAGATGTCCAAATGAAAATTTCCTTTTATGGC